AATTTGTCTGGTACTTTTGAACCAAACAGACATAATTATTTAATTTATTTTGTAAAATAATAGACAGAATTGTGTGGCATGATCACAGTTATAATCTTATTAATTTATTTGGTTATCTCTAAACAGAATCCCATGTCCTTTTACTGCCACTAAGAGAATGCCATCTTCCACAGAATATTTCTGTGAAGAATCTCCTTGTTTCAGGAAAAATGTTGATTAAAGATGAAAATCATGGATCAACAATCTATATTCCAATTAACATTGAAATAAAACAAATTATAGAATCTTGCAAGCATTTTGATATAATTTTAAAAAGATTATTTAATGCATGATATATACCAGTAGATAATATTTGATAATGGTAGTCTTAAGTAACTATTAACAATAGCTAGACGTTTCAAGCAATGGCTCTTTATTGATATCATAGAAGTTATTTATTAACAACTTATTGAACGCATGTTCATTTCACAAACATGTCAAACTATCACTTAGCTAAGTTAATCAGTACCACCAACATTTTGTGATTATCATGCATATTTATCTTTTTAATCTTTTGTATCTACAAATCAATCAACATCGTGAAATATCAATGCCAAATAAACTCATCTGCACCAAAAACAATGAATGAAATTGTTACAATTTTATTCTTACCATGAACTGTACAATATCATTATCTTTATGTTTGGGTGTTTTGAAGTATGATAGTTTGGATATAACAATAACATGATATTCTGCAGTAGTACTCAATAATCCTGGAATCTCTTTGTATGTGGGTACTGTAATGTCAATTCCAGTATCTTCATTTCGTAACTCCCTGTTGAAATATAAATAGAAAAAAACTATTGACCACGCATCTCATAGTGTGAAATTATTCCCCTGTTCTTTCAGGTGAAAATTTTGGAACAGTGTATTAACTACTGTAAAATCTGTATTAAAAGCCCCGGCTTCTATTATTGTACAATGCAACAGAGGGGTGCAGCTTCTATTAGAGCATCTACACATATGAGAAATGATGAATTTTTGGGTCTCAATTGTTCAAAAAGAATGGGTGCGGCTTATATTAGGAATGCGGTTTCTAATACAGATTTTATGGTAATATATTACCAAGCATCATGCAATAAAAATAAGAATCAACTAAACAATTATTCTATTAGGATTTGGGTCTAGTTATGCGATCATTGTGTCCCATGCAAGTATATGATCAAAGAAAGCTTAGAAAGAACTCCCGTGTGCTGAGAGTTTTGGAGACACATTAAAAATTAATTCAAAATTACTTATACTTGAGATATTGATGGAATAGCTGAAAACTAATTATGCAAATAAGGTAACTAATATGAACAGATTTAAGTGTAAAACTAATAACCCCTGCACAATGTACCAAGTTTCATTGAAATGTGATTAGAACCAAAAAAATATTAATTATTATGCTAATTAGAGAATTAATATGAACAGATTTTAACCCAAAATTAATCAGACTGTTTATTGTCCTAGAGCATTTATGTACCAAGTTTTATTCAAATGTGATGATCAATACTCGAGATATCAGTATTAATTAATTATGTTAATTAGGTGATTAAGAAGCATAAATATTTACTAAAAACTAATATGGTGCACAGTCTTAGGTTCATTGAAATATGATGGGTACTCTTTAAAAGTTTTATTGAAATCCAATGAGTGGTTTTTAGACATCATAGAACAGCAAAAAATTATTTATTTATCCCAAAAT